CTTTAAATAGCTGATTGATGATCTTTAAACAGCTGATGATCTTTAAAGAGCTGACTGATGATCTTTAAAGAGCTCACTGATGATCTTTAAACTGCTGAACAGATGTTTATCAAACGTAGCTAAGAATTATCCAGATTAAATTAGCCTTTAAATAAAAATAAAACCGCTTCGTAATCAGTCCATCTGTTTGGAAGCTACGATGCCACAAATTGACAAGCAAAAACATAGACAAAGGCTTCAAACTTATTACTACACTCTTTTTGCGTTGGAGGTCAAAAAAGGCTGAAATATGAGACAAATCGAGCACGTGACTCGCATACGAATTTAGGCGTAGTTATGCAAGCACCGATAAGTCAGTTATACTTTCGTTTCTATATTTGATAAGACAAATAGCATTACGAATATCAATAAATAAAGCTCCTTGAGGTGTTCTCAGTTATTCCCATTAATCAATTTTGTTATGTATAACGGCTACCGAACTCATGCTAGAACATACACATACCATATATATAGCACATACCACACGAACAGAACAGTTAAGGACGCCTAGCCCTGGAGGCCCGAGAGTATGTTCGGTATTTTAAAAATAAATACCAAAGCACAAATCGATGGTGCCGGATTTTTATTTATTAAGGGATCGGCGTTATTTTCATCCGATCTGAAGAGTCCGTAGCTGAAGAAAATTCGGATCCGCTTGTCTGGCTTATTATTTTTAGTAGAATCTCGACCCTTTTTAATTTAAATGTGAGACGAACAGACATTTGCTTTTGTGTAATTATTGTTTGAATTGCTTTTATTCAAATCAAATCATTTGTTTCGAACTAATTAAATCCATTTACAATTATAAAATAAAATTAAAAAATTTATATAGTATTTATTAATGCGTTTACATTAATAACTAAATTTAACTGACAATAAAAAGTAATTATAAAAAAACATGAATTGTAATTAAAATATGGTATAACATACATGAAAACAAAATAAATCTCATTAGTTTTTTCAAAATTAGAATTACAATATTATATTCCCTAATTTCTTGATTTTGATTGCATTTTGGTTGTGACTGCACAACACTGAAGAGTATGCCAATACTGCCTTTCCTTTATGTGATATATATTTCCTTTATGTGTAATAGGAGTTATAGTATTGTTTTCTCGCAGGTCCGATCTCCGAAAACACGAAATCCGTAGTCACAATCGTACCAAACGCGACTACATCGGCGGCGAGCCCACATACAAGCAAGTTGAACGTATGCAGAAGATGAAAGAGGAAAATCATGATTTAGATAAGTGGCGGCACGAGATCGCAGTTACTCAGCCTACCCAAATAGTGCAAACTGCGTACATGGAGCCAAATAAGGATTACATGTCGAATTCTCATCAGATTTACTGTTTCTCTGATGTTACCGCCGTCATGCATTCGCAATCGCAACCGATGGGTAAGTGTTCAATATGTCTTTTTCATTACCATACAATTACTTCTAAGTTTTGTTACTCAGATAGTGTATCACGGCGATGTTATAAACTATGTATAATATAGGTGCTTATATATTCTAGAGCTTCTAGGACGCTCGCTCACTGTATACATAATTTGTCGAGCGACTGATTTGTATGCGATTTAATCAATTTCGTAAGTTTGCAAGACTCTCAAGACGCTCCCGCTGTAAACAGCGTTAGGTTAAAATTAGGGTGGGTGTTCGGGTGAAATAAATTACGTCACTTTGTTCTAACAGATTTTAATTAAATTTGCGTGCTAATTTGCAGAGACTATTCTATAATAGGTTATAGTTTATGTATGCATGTATAGACTAGGTCAGTCAGATTCTACAAAATATTGCACATTTGATTGGTTACCATTCACCGTTTTCAACATAATAAAAAAAACAAAAGTACCGTGTGGATTCGTGTATTCCTTAACTACTCGAAACACAGACCTCAAACAAAAAAATCTGTTCCAAACGTTTTCTGTCTAAATTAATTTTTTAGGTGTTTTTTTGTTGTTGAACGGTGACAAAGCAATGCTTTAGATTCGTGAATAATTTGAAGTGGGTTTTACAAACAGCTAATATGAAAACTCTACGGTTAAAGGGGCGAAGGATGTTTCTTATTTTAAAAGAAAAATACCGACTCTGTACAAACGCAATATGGTCGGACGAAATGAATAGTACACAATGCTTCTTTGGTTATCTTTGTTAGGAAAATGTGGTTGTTTCAGAAAACAAAGGAAGAATTAATTTTTATTCATCGCGGAAATGTCTTTTAAATCACTTCAAACAAAAAGGAGGTTCTAATGTTACATATACTTTTTAGTTGCTGTGTACTGTGTGTGGGATATTTATATTATAGTTTCATTTGTTTTAATAGTAGTTTTTTATTCAACATTGCTTGTTTGTTGTTGCAGTTCAACAACAACAACAGACCGTCCAGCTATCATTGTAAGTATTCAAGTATTTCTAGAATAAGGAGCTGGACCCCGATTCAGAACTCTTCGACAGGCCTAAAATATAGGAATGCATTAGTCTTGCATTAAAATAAATTATTAAAATTGAACAAAATCCAGGCTTTATTTAAAATAATAAGAGATTTCCATATTACATTCTTGCTTTGTAAACAATAGGACGTTCGGTAACTTTCATTCGATAACTGTGTTCTGAATAACGTTTGTAGCCTTTGCCGGTCAAGAAGTTCGTTTGATGTCATTTCGGTTCGGTTTCGTATACGACAGTTTGACGTTCGATTTGGGTGTTGTGAATAATAATGAAACGAAATCGGTTGACAACTAAGTTATCGTAAAGTTCTGAATCGACCTCCAGCACATCAAGCTACACATTGACGGATCTGGTTTCGTTATCAAATAAGCAACAGATATCAATACTAGTGAAGATTTCATTTGCCGTTTGGTGGATGATGAATTTGTGGGAGTTTCTTATTATTTAATTTTGGATTTCCTACCACCATCTATCCTAAGAAACCAGCTTCGTAAAAACATCATAGAATATTTCAAGTTTCAATGCTAATTTTTAATTTCAGGCCCGAATTAACAATGAAGAAAGATGACGTCAAGATTTACGAAACTCAACAAGGCATTGGATATTTTTAGAATCACAAATAAACGAAATATACGTGTCCGAAAGAAAAACTGGATAACGGGGTAGCTGTGCTTATTTTCGGGTGCGTTAACTTAATTCATCTGAGTTAGTTCACCTAGGTGCATTAAGTGCACTTTTAGTAAACTTAAATCACCTGGGTGCATTAGATAAACAAAAAAGGAAACTTTATTCACCCCGATATTTACGGACGCCAGGATTCAACTTTTTACATGGTACAGATACGGTGATGAAAAACTTCGTGATAAAACCTGCATGTCGAATAAGGTTCACAATGAAGTCCCCAACTGTTTGTCCAGGGAAGTACTGCCATCTTACCTAATTCTACCGCCAAGCAGTAAGTTGAGTATGTTGAGTAAAAAAAAAATAAGGTCAGCATTATGCGGGTTGGGTTGGACAATGCGGGTTGGGGACGTCATTGTAAACCTTCTTCGACATGCAGGCTTCATCACGAAGTTTTTCATCATGTCCATATACATCATTTTCATCGTATCTGTAATCGTCGTATAAGCGTCCTTAAATATCGGGGTGAACAAAGTTTACTTTTTTGTTTATCTAATGCACCCAGGTGATTTAAGTTTACTAAAAGTGTGCTTAATGCACCTAGGTGAACTAACTCAGGTGAATTAAGTTAACCCAGCCTTATTTTCTAGATTGACTATTTTTACACTGTGTGCTCTGGGTCAATGAGGAGTTAATTTTGTTACGTTGGTACTCAAAGCACAGGGAACACCTTAGACTGAGACCAGATAATTGATATATTAGTCGAGCACATTATTATGACTACATTTGTACAAAAATGATTTAATTATCATGCTATAATATAAATATATTATTTAGATAGGCACAAGCCTTACAAATAGAACACCAGCTCACGAAAACGTGTTCATGTATGAACTGTGCTGACGATATTCCATATAAGATATATTTTGCACAGTAAAAAATTAATTTTAGCGAAAACGGAAGCGAAAGCGGAAGAGTAAATACCATAACGATATCGAAATAGTTCCAAGCAGGACTTGTTTTTGATTTTATAATTGCATTTAACACAAAACTGCAAAAAATGCGCGTCTCACGGCCAAACATTTCCGACGTAAACGTTTTAAACTTCCGATTAAAGTTTCGTTATAAATGTTATGGAAGTAGATGTGAAAAAGCGTTCAGAACTTTCGCAATTGTGGAACCAGAAGCAGAGATCTGTTGCTTCACTAGCATGGATGAGTGCTGCAGCGTGCTGACAAGTGGAATTCAACCCTTAGCCAGTTTTTTCCTACGATATAAAAACCCTGTATAGATTAGTATTATATGCAATAACTAGAGTTAACTAGAAAAATATATATTATTACACTAGAAATTATTAGGGTATTTGACAAGTATCGCAAATGAAATATTTTTCATTAGCATTTACAGAAAAAAATTGTTGTCAAATGGCAAAACAGAATTGAAATTCTTTGAAAAGAGAAATATTTTTACTGGCATTCAGAACTGCATTACTTATTAGTGACGTCATAACTTTGACATTTTGGTACAAACTACATTGTCTCTTGTCATTACGGACATTCAAACGCAATTCGACGGGATGCAGGTTTAATATGTTTTGTACTGTTCTCGAGGCAATGTACTTCATAGTCCTCTATAACTGAGTCATAGACCCATGGGACATGACTGTGTCATTATAAATTTGCATTTTGTTTTTCCGTATTGTATTTATGTTAAATAAACTATTAATATTTGAATTTTTTTAGTAAAGTCTCCTCACCACGGGCTTTAACCATTAACATTTCGGTGTTAGTTGAAATACCAAATTTCGAATTTCATTTATTGAATGAATTTTGAGTCAATTACCCTATTATAATTACGTATGACATATACACTAATTCATGTTACAATTTTTAGTTGGTTTTGTAACTTGAACACGATATTTCTATTATTAGTTTAAGAATATAAAATTGTATACCGTTTTTTTACTTTATAAGTTGTAATAATGGAGCAATAAGTAATAAACGTTAAAAGCTTATTTCATATTTTGTTACTGCATTAAACCTTAAGAAAAACTAAATTTAAATAAATATATATTTTAAAAGAAACCAGCAAAAAGTATTTTATAGTTTCATATGAACATATTCGAGGTTTAGTTTGGAAATATGTAATTGTAACAATACTCCATATGTTATTGTAATAAATAATGATCCTCTTCCCCCCGGACCGCCGCAAGGTGTAGACGTTTTACGGCTCTGTTGCCATTTTATTCCAAAAAAAGGTTTAAATTTAAATTTGTGAATTAAATCCGAAGTGAAATTAGGGATTCATAAGTGTCTAGGAGTTACGTGAACAGTTCTCACTTGGATCGATGTGTGCGTAGTGCTTTCAATAGTAAATTGTTATAGTGTGCAAATTTGCGCAGCCGCAGGTGGATTTTTAATCAAAACAAATAAAGCGTCAGGTTCAAGATAAGTACCAATTTAATAACACACCAAATTTGGTAGTAAGCAAGTTTGATTTGCCCGAGAAAAATATGTCAAAAAATAACCTCTGGAGTCTCACTGTAATCAGTGTTGGGCGTTAATCAATTAAATTTCAATCAATAATTCAATCAGATTAAAAAATCAATTCAAATTGATTTTAATTGCAATTGATTTTAATTGCAATTGATTTTAATTGCAATTGATTTCAATTGCAATTGATTTCAATTGCAATTGATTTCAATTGAATTGATTTTAATTGCAATTAAATTTGCAATTAAAATCAATTCCGGCCGGTTTGGCGCCTATTGGGGGCCCGGTTGGGGGCCCGGTTGGGGGCCCGGTTTGGGGGCCGATTGGGGGGCCCGGTTGGGGCCTCGGTTGGGGCCCCGGTTGGGGGCCCCGTTTGGAGGCCCCGGTTGGGGGCCTGGCTGGGGGGCCCGTTTTGGGGCCCGATTAGTGGCCAGTTAGGGGCCAGTTCGGGGGCCAGTTAAGGGGCCTGTTGGCCCCCAACCGGCCACCCAACCGGGGCCCCAACCGGCCACCTAAACGGCCCCCCAACCGGGGCCCCCAACCGGGTCCTCCAACCGGGGCCCTCAACCGGGCCCCGAACCGGGCCTCCAAGCGGGACCCCAACCGGGGCCCCCAACCGGGCCCCCATAACCAACGCCCTAACTCACCCCCCATATGCCCTATCAATTTATCATAATTGTCAGTTTGAATTGTTAATTGTTAATCAAAAACATTGAAAAGATTGAAAATTGATTAATTGTTAAATTGTTAGTTGCGAGAACCGCAATTAACAATTGATTAATTGTTAATTGCGGTTCTCGCAACTAACAATTGATCAATCGTTAATTGCTGTTTCGCAATTGACAATTAATTAATTGTCAATCTTTAATTGCCAGAACAATTAAATTTTGCCCAACACTGACTGTAATCCAGTTTTTGCTAGCCTGTGACAATAAGCATATTTTAGGACCTTAAGTCACACTTCAAGATACGTGTTACAGGTGTACTATTTTCAAAGTTCCCCGTGCTTTATATAATATTTTAAGCGATTTTGGGCGCCCCTACGCCTTAACCAAGCTTGAGTCATTTTAGCTTTTTTGGGTTGGTGCCGAGTCTTGCTGGAAAATTAATTCTTTGTTGTGAAATACAGTAAAATACAAGGGTTTCCACCATATATATATATATAATAAGGCCTTGTTGGCAAAAACAGATCGGAGTGACACCTTTGCACGAAATCTCCCACCAAACCATTACACTCGCCGGATGATGGGGACGCGGAACATTTCGTACTGAAGCTGGAACATCTTTGCTGCTTTAGAAATAAATTTCATTGTTTTATCGGTTTAACTTTTCTTCGGCCGTGAAGATTTTTTAGTCAGCGAAGAGTAGGTATCATTTTCGCATCGTGTCTTTCAAGTAGTATGGAATAACGTTCGCGTCGTAATTTCCGAAGGCGATCAATTAGGAAGTGAACTTTCATAGGACTGTAGGGCCTTTACCTTGAAATCCTATTTCAGTATTCTGATTGAGATCTGTGTTAGTTTTTTTT